CGTGGACTACAGCCCACTTCTTCGGATGCATATAAGAAGTAGGCTGTAGTCCACGAAAGCTTATGCTCTAATAAATTTGTTAGTCTCTAAGGTGCCACAAGTACTCCTGTTCTTCTTTTTGCGGATACAGACTAACACGGCTGTTACTCTGAAACCTGAGATAGGACAGACTCTTCTGCCGGGATAAGAGTATAGCTGGATAAATTAACAATATTGTTGGGTGAGTTAAGGGGGTATCACTGTTGTGACCCCTTGTGGCATGTAGGAGTTCAGATAGTTTAGTGCCCTTTTTCCTCTGTAGAGAAGCGAAATGTGTGTTGTAAATGGCTTGTCTAGTTTTTGTAACGTCCAGCCACGAGGAAGTTTGTGTGGAAGGTTGTTTTTTTATGAGAGTCTCTAGTTTTGAGAGCTCATTCTTGATCTTCTCCTGTTTGCTGTATAGGATGTTGATCAGGTGGTTCTGCAGTTTCTTTGAGAGTGTGTGGCATAATCTCTCATCACAGTCGGTGTGGTATGTTGATTGTAATGGATTTTTTATCTTCAGTCCTTTTGGTATGATGTCCATCTGTTTGCTTACTCATATCATTTAGCATATCTTCAGACTGTGGGATGTTTTATCACATGATCGCTTTGTATTTGTGCCTCTAAAAAGGATTAATTTCAATCTTTAAATTTGTGCTGTTAATTCCATGTGTAAATTAAAGCGGCATGTTTATCACAATGGCTAGAAACAGAATTCCAAATCCTTTCTGCGGTGAAAAAACAGTGAGGCGTCCTTGTGGCACCTTAGAGACTAACAAATTTATTTGGGCGTAAGCTTTCGTAGGCTATAACCCACTTCACAAATTTTAATAATTCTGATGAATTAATAAGTAATTCAGGATGGGGACGGTGAGAAAGTATAATACTTTTTCCTTGAGTGCTATATGAATTATAAACTCTTCATGCTTTCCGTAGATTTTGAAATTCTAGTTTGAAATACTGTCTAGATGTTAGAGTATGTGTCTAATGCTTCTATCTAATGTCCATTTTTCATTGGTGTGGTACTGAAGGGCGGATATATACATAAGGTTTCTCAAGGCATGTTCATTGTTAATGTTGTGCTTTAGTTTAGTCTTAAACACAAGATTAGAACCTCACATCAAGATCTGACGAGAAGACCCTGGATTGTGTAAAAATACCTTGTTAAAACTAGGGCTGTCAAGCTAGTAAAAAAATTAATCGTGATTAAAAAAATTAATTGTGATCAATCACACTGTTAAACAATAATAGAATACCATTTATTTAAATATTTTTGGATGTTTTATACATTTTCAAATATATTAATTTAAATTATAATACAACACAAAGTGTACAGTGCTCACTTTATATTTATTTTTGATTACAAATATTTGTGCTCTTAAAAAAATAGTATTTTTCAATTCACCTCATACAAGTACTGTAATACAATCTTTTTATCATGAAGGTTGAACTTACAAATGTAGAATTATGTACAAAAAATAAAACAGTGTAAAACTTTAGAGCCTATAAGTCCACTCAATCCTACTTCTTGTTCAGTCAATCACTCAGACAAACAAGTTTGTTTACATTTGTAGGAGATAATGCCTGCTTCTTTTTTACAGTGTCACCTGAAAGTGAGAACAGGTGTTCACATGGCACTGTTGTAGCTGGTATTGCAAGATATTTGTGTCAGATGCCACCAGTAAAAGGTTGATTTTCTTTTTTGGTGGTTTGGGTTCTGTAGTTTCCACATCGGAGTGTTGCTCTTTTAAGACTTCTGAAAGCATGCTCCACACCTCGACCCTCTCAGATTTTGGAAGGCACTTCAGATTCTTAAACCTTGAGTCGAGTGCTGTAGCTATCTTGAGAAATATCACATTGGTACCTTCTTTGCATTTTGTCAAATCTGCAGTGAAAGCATTCTTAAAATGAACAACATGTGCTGGGTCATCATCTGAGACTGCTATAACATGAAATGTATGGCAGAATGCGGGTAAAACAGAGCAGGAGACGTACAGTTCTCCCCAAGGAGTTCAGTCACTAATTTAATTTACACATTTTTTTTTAATGAGTATCATCAGCATGAAAGCATGTACTCTGGAATGGTGGCCAAAGCATGAAGAGGCTTATGAATGTTTAGCATATCTGGCACGTAAATACTTTGCAGTGATAGCTACAAAAGTGCCATGTGAATGCCTGTTCTCACTTTCAGGTGACATTATAAATAAGCCAGCAGCATTATTTCCTGTAAATGTAAACAAACTTGTTTGACTTAGCGATTGGCTGAACAAGAAGTAGGACTGAGTGGACTTGTAGGATCAAAAGTTTTACATTGTTTTGTTTTTGAGTGCAGTTATGTAACACAAAGAAATCTACATTTGTAAGTTGCACTTTCACAATAAAGAGATTGCACTACAGTACTTGTATGAGGTGAATTGAAAAATACTATTTCGTTTTTTATTTTTACAGTGCAAATATTTGTAATAAAAAGAAGTGTACACTTCCTAGTCTGTGCTGTAATTGAAATCAGTATATTTGAAAATTTAGAAAAACATCCTCAAATATTTAATACATTTCAATTGGTATTCTATTGTTTAACAGTGTGATTAAAACTGCGATTAATCACAATGAATTTTTTAATCGCGATTAATATTTTTTGAGTTAATCTCCTGAGTTAACTGCAATTAATCGAGAGCCCTAGTTAAAATAGAACGTCACTAAAAGCAAAGGGACGCTAAGAAAAGTATAGTTCTTTCACAGTTTTCCTCAATGTGAGTCTCCTTTTCAATGTATTGTATATTTACTTCTGGGCTTCAGTGTCTTGCTGTCCCTTCAAAGTAATAGGGGCCTCAGACTGAATATGTAATACATGTATTCTGTTGTAATTATTCTTGGAACAAGGAAAATGACCTTTTGGTTTCCTTGGCAACTTAGAACTTTCTTTTAGAGTGATGTCAGGAAAACAAAGTGTGTTCCTGAATGAAGTAGGTATTTCATAAGCTGAGTCTAAGGACTGCAGAGGGGAGGGACTGTTAACTGTTGTACTTCCAGAAACCAGAATAAATGTTCATATTTGTCTACAGTATTAAACGGTAAAGCTGCAGGTAGTGTGATAGAAGGGAGTATATTCATATGTGATAATGATTTTACAAAAAACTTGGCATCTACAATAAGTTCCATCTTTCTTTACTCTAACTTAAATTTCCCATTAGGTGAGGTTACATGTAAAAGATACTTCATGCCACAGTAGCCTTTCAAGGGCTTTCCTTGGTGAATAGTAACAGTATTTTCTTTTTCTTTAATTCTCAGGAAAAAGAGACAAGCGAAACTTCACATTGAAAGAAAGCTTTTTTTTTTTTTTTTTAAAAGATGAATACACCCCGGGAACTGTAACCCAAATGTTTCTCTGTCCGTGGAGAAGATTTCATTTTTGAAACAAGATTTCTACGGAAGGTATGAATATTTACTCTTCCTCTTTAAAGCTCATTTGTTTCATAATAAATACAACTGTACAATGCATCTCAGTATTCAGAACTTGAAAATTTTACTTGGCATCTTATACTGAGAGGTAGATAAGATGAGAGTGGTGATGCTGGGAGGGCGCTAACCAATGTGGTTCAGCTCCTCTGCCATCATTTGGAGGCATGTGATATACAGGAGCTCAGTCTAGTTACTCTAATGATTGCTTCTGGCCTTAAACTCTGTAAATCTATGACTCATAGATGATAAGGCCAAGAGGTACCACTGTGATAATCTGACTTCCATATAACACATCCCATAAGACTTCTCTGAACTCTTTGAACTAGAACATCTTTTAGAAAAGCGTCCAGTCTTGAGTTAAAAATTTCCAATGACAGAGACTCCACCACAACCCTCGCTAAGTTGTTCCAATGGTTCCTTGCCCGTCCTCTTAAAAATGTGAATTTTATTTCCAGTCTGAATGTGTCTAGTTTCAACTTCCAGTCACTGAATCGTGTTAGACCTTTGACTTCTAAATTGAAAAGCATATTATCACATTTTTATTGCCCATGTAGGTACTTGTAGACTGTCATTAGGTCACCCCTTAAAGAGAAGTTAAGCTAGATAGACTCGAGGAGCTCAGTCACCATAAGGCAAGTTTCTTCTTCGAGTGATTGCACGTTCATTCCTTCTGAGGTGTGATGCATGCCCCCTTAGCATCCTTGCACTGCTACACAATGGTATGAAAGGCAGGGCTGACACTGCCCTGCCCCAAAGTCCCTTCTCATTGCCCTTGATCAGTAGAGTGTGTCCGCTTGCTGCTGTGATTTTTCTCCAGGGGATTTAACTCCCTTCTGACCAGCATTTACTTGGTCTTGCTAGTATTCAGTCTGAACCAGCTGATCGGTCTTGTCTAGTCTATATAGGTGGTATATAGACTAGACCGTAGTGTCTGAGCGCATTCCAGTAGTGCATTAAGCAATGTAACTACACATCTCTCCTGTGTAGTTCTCTCATCCTCTGCCCAGAAGGAGAGTTGTGTGCAGTGGAATGTCTTGTTTTAGAAGTGTGTGTTGTTGTTTTTTTTTTTAAAATGTACCTGTTGCTGTGTGTTCACATTAGAGAAAGCAACATCAAAGAAACAAGAAGCAGAAGGTTGAGGTTCTGAGTTCCTGGGGGAGTTCATTCCGCAGTCTCAGATGTCCCTCAGAGAAGGTTCTCTCTTTCGCAAAAATAAGCTTCACTCTTTATTGTTGAGAATTCCATTGTACGAGAGGGCCATAGTTGTTTTCCCCCATTCTTCATCCCAGTGCTTTAGATGGCCTTTTAGAAGTCCTGGGCTCAGGCCATGGAGTGTTTTGAAGATCAGGACTGAGACCTTGAACTTAATTTGAAAATCTATTGGAAGCCAGTATAGAGAGCAGAGGGCAGTTTGGTATGTTTATGGTAGTTTGTATTGCTGAGGAGATGGGCTGCAGTGTTCTGAACTAGTTCAGGTTTCCTAAGTGCTGAAGGCTTCATGCCCAGGTATATTGTCTTGCTGTAATCCAGCCAAGAGGTGATCAAGGCATGAATATCTGAAACCAGGTCTTCTTCCACCAGGATGGGATGGAGTTTCCTAGCCAAGCAGAGGGGTAGCAAGCAGTACTTGTGGATTCTGCTATGTGAGAATTCAGCATCAGTGAGGAATCCAAGATTACTTCTAGACTACGGACTGACTGGACTAATTGTGGTGTCTCTCTTCAACCAACGGAGAGTGCACTGAAGCTGCAAGCTCCTCAAAATACTTTCTTCTGCCCACCAGCATCACCTCTGATTTGCTTGGGTTCAGTTTCAGCCAGCTGTTCTTCATCCAAGAGCTGGTCTTCTCCAAGCACTAGGCAATCTTGGTGGTAGTTTTTTTT